GTGAAAGGCTCCTTAGCACTTTGATATGTTTTATTACCGCTGAAAAGGTTCCTGTCTTGGCTGGAATGTGTAAACAAGAAATAAATATTAAATTGCCCAGTGAGTCCATTTTACTCTGACCAACAACAACAAAAACATTTGACGACAAAAACGATTTCTGAACTTAAATGGATAGTTCGACCAAAAAGGAAAGTTACCCCATGATTTATTCACCCTCAAGCCATCCTAGGTGTATATGATTTGTATCCTTGTTTTGTACTTCTAATTACGGTATTTTGTTTTGTTTTCTCCTCTGCGCTTCCTACGTCATCCGCTGGATGTCACTCTCTCATGAACGCGTGTACGAAAGTTAGCGGAAGCTAGAGATTATGGGTTATAAGGATGTAAATTTGGATATTTTTCTTACACAAATGCATCAATGGGACACCCCTCGAAATGCGATTGGGCTAGTTTTGGGCTAGTTGTGATTAGCAATTGGGCGGGTTTTGTTGTGAAAACTTGGCAACCCTGGTGTGGAGCACTTTTTATGATGGATGGATGCACTTTATTTTGCTTCAAAATCTGGACCACTACTCACTGCCAGTATAAAGCAGCAGACGTTTTTTAATATAGCTCTAATTGTATTCGTCTGAAAGAAGGAAGTTATATACACCTAGGATGGCACAAGGGTGAGTAAATCATGGGGTAATTTTCATTTTTGGATGAACTATCCCTTTTAAGTAAAAACATATCAGGAGTACTTGAGCAGCATGTCATCACACCCTGAGTGGTTAAAAATTAAAAGTTGGACACCATGGGTCTGTACACAACACAACAGCAAGACCGTTGCATCTCACAGAGTGGTAAATGCAGTCGGACAAAGAAATGCAGTCAGAGAAAGAATCTAGGAGCTCAGGATAAGCAGGTTCAGGGAAAAACGTGTTAATATGTGTATGTTGTGTTGATCCCTGTTAAATACTTATCATTCAAGCCTCAGCTAGCCTGAATGCTCGGCGCTGCTGGAAAACAGTGTGAGGTGAATTATTGAATATCTTCAGGTTTTCACCATCAAGGACGAAAATCGTGGCCTTGAGAATAGAGAGAAAGTTACTGACATTAAGACCCGTGCAGATGCTTCACTTCTCTGTAGTGCTGTTTGACGAGTCAGTTTTTATGCTTCTTCATAGTTTAGCTCACATACAAAATTTTTCCACGTTTCCTCTAACCTCCACCTCTGTGAAGTTTAGTTGAGAATGACGTCCATGTCGAAACTCTAGTGTAATGCGGGTTGAAAAAAAGTTTTGCAGCAAAGATGTTGATTAGTTAGAGGACATTGCTTTTGTAAAGATTTTTCTGAAAACACAATGTCTGTTAAATAACCTGGTCTGTTTGTGTTGAATGATCCTGATTTGAAATGGTTCTGTCTTTAATAAACACAAATCAAAGCACAGAACAGCAACTAAGAGAAAACACACCAACTCCAGCTTGAAAGTAACATTTGAACTTTATTATATTATATTACTGTATACAGTCATAAAACACTGGCAAATAGGACAAATTCTAAAGTAAGCAATTATCAGTTCCAATCCATTCAATCCAGTGATTTCTCACCTAGAGGTCATGTTGGTGCCATCAACCCATTTCCATGAGTCCTCCACATCAATGTCAGTCAGACCAATCTAGACTCCAGTGCCAGAAATCTTCCTAACAAAATCCTTACAAGAGGAAATGCATTATTAAACACAATTATATTGTAATCTGAAAATTCAGTTGACTTCATACACACATATACATTCAAACTTGTCACGATGCCTAATGTCCTTAATTTAATCTTTAATTAAGTTGGTTTAATCTTTAATTATAATAACAACACCATACCCATTGCAGACACCTTTACCACTTTAGGCTTTCTTCCACGCAAGGAAGAAAGCACAGTAAGTGACTTTTTGTCAATGTTGAGCTCTCAGGTTTGGCTCATCTCCAAGAACACAGGCTACCTTGAAGGAGCAAAATTGAAAAGACGAGGACATAGTAGAATCATTCTGAGAGATGTGCCGTGATCTTGTTGCTCAAATGACTCAGCACATTTTAAATAGTAGGAAAGCTCCACGAAATGCACAATAAATGTAATCTCACAAATATCAACACCTATTAAAACATTTACTTTGTACATTGTTTGCCTGCAATGATTTCTAACAGTTTGATTCTTTAAAGTCCGTATTCAATGCTTCCTCAGCATCAAGAACGCATGGTAATCTTGTGCATCCTCTGTACTTGCATTCTTGAGAATTGAAACTGAACTTTGGCAGTTGATGATGGCGTAGAATGTGTACACATGGAAACAAGATCTCATCAGAATGCATACTGAGAAATGGACAAAATTCATTAACACAATTCTTTACTGTAGTATTGGTTTAGTTTCTGTCTTTTACCTTTGTAGGCCAGTTAATCAAGACATTTTATTTGCATTTATATGCATTTTTCCACTAGTGACGAGCATCTTGAATTGTTTTTAAGATGTTTGTGAGAATAAGAACTATATATAGCAAGTATATGCATATCTTTCTCTTTTCTCTTTCACTCACTTGTTCCTCTTTGTTGTTTATGATGACCAGATCCGATCCTCTCTTCAAACAGTCTTGTCTGCTCTCAGTCCAGCTCTTCCACTCAGAAGAGACATAGTAAAGATGGGATTGATAGTAAATCCATTCATCTACAAGCACAACCAGTTCAGCTATTGTCACTTTATTCCCGTCATAGGATTACTGTATACATTTTGTTTTTAATGCTAAAAGTTAGATTAATTGTGTCATTCATCATTACCCATTTCATGAAGACATTTCCACAATTCAGTTGTGTAGTTTGTATGGATGTGGACACACAGCACTATGACTGCAGTCAGCAGAAGAACGCACAGCAGCACCGAACACACTGCAGCTGCTCTGTAGTTTCTGTTCTTCACACAATCACTCCCTGAACACCACAGACATGATGTGAAATGAGCGAACATGTGCAAACTGTTATGTTTTTACCTATTTATTAATTTGATCATAGAAGTGAAAGGGATTACCTGTACGTTGAAGCAGCTGGTGTGTGTTTGACTCTTTTCTGAAGTCACGATCTCTTATATCCAGCATCATCTCCACTGTCCCTCTGTCCATGTCCTGAAGCTCAGTCCTGCTCACACTATCATAAATAACCTCAGATTTCTCTAGTCTTTTATAGCCAGACATTATAACACTGAACGTTGCTTTGTTCAGTTTGGCTGCTCTTTGTGACTTTGCAATCTGATTCTGTTTTTATCAACACATACATATATCTAAACACAATGGAAATGGAATGAGTTAAGCCAAACATCACATGATTAGTGAAATGAGGAGTGGTAACCCATACTCAGAATTTGTCCTGTGCATTTGATGATGATCAGATGATCAGTCTTTCCACAGTTCCTCAAACTTCTGTCTGTATGATGTTTAGTTATTCAAATCACATCTGATATTAGCCTTTGTATAACCGTCCACACTGAAACACTTGTGAAGTGGTTCTCAACCATTTTGATTCCCTCTCATTTTAGCCAATGAATCTGACTTTTTCAGTCATTCGTTATTCGTCATTACCAGATAAGGAATACTTAAATAACACACAATTTTTACTCACAATTTCTCAATAAATATTTAAGAGCTTGGCATAACTATAAAAATCTATATTCATTATACAAACACTTATGGTATTTTATTAATTTATCTAACATTTCCAGGTCTAGAAATACCCTTATTACACACTATAAAATCAGGCTTCCTCAAATATCCAGGTTTTTCAAGACAGTGCACTTGTGTAATGTGGGTTGAGTTAAGGTTTCACAAAATATGATGACTAGTTAATACAAGATTATTGTGTTATGGTTAGAATTGCTTTGAAGCATTTGTTTTATATAAGTTGGACATTTTTCATGTTGGCGACCTTGACAAACAAAACAAATTGTGCTTGCAGCTTACAGAACACCAAAGCAGCTCAAAATTCACCGGATTGTATATCTGACATCTGAACTCCCTTTTATACAGTATGTATATTTCATATAGCCATATAAACACTGCCATACAAAGCAAATGATCATTTGTTGGATTTACATATCCACGAATCACCTTTAGAATGTACTGTCTACAAAAATAAAACAAAAAAAACATTGATAACAAAAATCATGTTCATTTCACAATAACATTTAATAGTACTTAACATATAAAAAAGGAAAAGAAAGTAGTCCAATAAAAGTCAAATAAAATATTGGTTACACTGGTTGTTTAAGTGTGTATACATTTAAGAAACATTTAATTTAGCTTACTTTTAGCCTTCTTGCTAATAGACCTTGGTCAGGTTAGATGCCATATTGGATTTAATGCAGTGAGGGATACAATTACAGTCTTTACAAGGTCCTAGATCATGTAACTGTCACCATCTAACTTTGAAAACTGCTTTATGGAGTTTTTGTTTACTTAAAGTTTTTGTATGTTGTATGTTGTTAAACAACAGTACAATCCATTGAATGCACTATACTTCTATCCATTGCTTTTTTCATTCCTATGAAAGATTAAATATGATGCTACCCTGACTGCTAGGTGCTAAGTCCATTGTGTGACATCTCATGTTTTAAAAACAATAAATTATCAAGGCAGCCAACAGCGTGTGAAATAACAATGTCACATGTAGCCTATAAAGCAAAATGACCACAGAGATTCTGAAATCCTCTGTGGGTAAATTAAACTGGATGTTAGAATACACATTTATGTCATTCAGTGACTTACACTGTGCTCCTCTCACACATCCAATTAAATTCCTCTGTACATGGATGATCAGCCCATTCTCCTACAACAATTAGAGCACAGTTCTCTCCTCTATATTCATCGGGCTCTGCAGACATCCAGAACCTGCATCAATAGATCATCATTAGATGTTCAGTGCTGCTTTCTGTGTGATATACTGACTGTGAGAATTATATATTACACAATAATCAGTTCAGTGATTTCTCACCCAGAGGTCGGTGTGCTGCCATCAACCCATTTCCAGCTGCCCTCCACATCACTGTCAGTCAGACCAATCCAGACTCTGTCTTTATCAGACCATTTCCTAACAAATTCCTGAAAAGATGAAATTCTTATAAGGACAAAATTCAACTGACTTTACATACAAGCAAACACAATATCTTTTACTTACTTGTTCCTCTCTGTTGTTTATGATGATCAGATTTGCTCCTCTCTCTGTACAGTATCTTCTGCTCTCAGTCCAGCTCTTCCTCTCAGAAGATAAATAGAAAAGACTGGATTGATAGCACTTCCATCTCTCTGTGAACGCAGACAATTCAACTATTAACACTTCATTCTCATCCACACTACACAACTTATTTATAACAGTTTATACCCAAAGATTGTACATTATGACAAGTTGTTAATGTTAAATGTTTGTATAGTTGTGGTCATGATTACCCATTTCACCAAGACGTTTCTGCAGGTCATTGTTCTGTTGATTTAACTTTTCATTTTGTTTCATTAAATTGTCATTTTTGGATAATAATTCTTTCTGTTCAGCTGTAAAGTCCTCATTCTTGATTGCTAGCTGGTCTTTAAGAGCTTTGATTGTGGTTAGAAGCTGTTCTCTTTCTTCTGTGAGGTTGGTATTCCTGGTTAGTAGCTCATTTCTCTCTTCTGTGCAGTTTGAGTTGTATGAATGTATGTGGACACACATCACTTCCTGAAGATGACCGATATGAAGATTATATTATATATATATATATATATAGCTAAAATTTTATATTTAGCCACAGAAAAATTATACCTTCTTCTAATGCTCAATGTTGTTCCTGTATACTATAGCATATAAAGTATATATAGTATAGCAGCTCTACTATTTTCCCCCTATTTTAACACCAGTTAAACAAAGTGGATGGCAAAGTGTGAACAAACAGTGTGACATTCAAAGTTGTTTTTTTTCCCACATGTCCTATAAGTTTATTAGCAATTAAGGAATAATAATTTTCACACTGTATAATCACAATGAAAACCATTCACACTTTTTCTGTGAGGAATTCGACTTGGAGGTGAAGGTAGCATCCAAATGCAGAAAGTTTAATAAATCCAGCAAACAAATCCAAGGCACAAAGTAGAAACAGTCAACAAGGCACGCACAATGGTCAAAACAGGAAGGCAATGAAACAGGCAATGAAGAGAAGAAAAAATTTAAGAAACGAAAGACCACTCAGTAAGGAAGTGAAAATTACTGGCAAATTACTGGTCATTGTTCTCCCGCTGTAACTGCTCTCTTTGTTTCATTAGATCATTACTCTTGGACAATAATTCTTTCTTTTCAATTGTCAGGTTGTTGTTATGGCTCTCTAACTGATCATTCACTGTATTGAAATCTTTGATCGTGATCAGTAGCTGGTCTCTTTCTTTTGTGAGGTCTGTAATGTTGGTTAGTAGCTGGTGTGTCTCTTGTGTGTAGTTTGTGTTGTTTGTATTGATGTGGACACACAGCACTAGACAGAAGAACACACAGCAGCACCAAACACACTGCAGCTGCTCTGGAGCTTCTGATCTTCACTGAATCACTTCCTGAACACCACAGACATGATGGTAAATGACTGAACATATGCAAACTGTGACATTTAATCAAATAAATTAATATGATTACCTGTGTGCTGAAGTGGTAGGTGTGTGTGTGTGTGTGTTTGTCTCTGTCCTGAAGTCATGATCTCTCACACAATCTGCAATCTCATAGATAGCCACCATCATCTCCACTCTCTCTCTGTTGATTCCCTCAGTCTCAGTCCCAATGACATTGTCAGAAATAGTATCAGACATATCTGATCTTTTAAAGTCCAACACTGATATTCCGTGATGAAAGTTCTTTCTGTGTCATTCAGCTCACAGACTAACTAAAATAACTAAACGCAACGGAACTGGCATGCGGTAAATGTGTGCAGTCTAAGATCATGTGACATTAAACTGTTAAGTATGCTTAAAGCGATTTGTAAAAGATCTGCAGCAACAGACAGACATTAGATGTTCATTGTTGCTTTCTGTGTGATATGATACTGACTGAGAATCATTTATTCAATTATAATCGGTTCAATTTGGTGATTTCTGACACAGACACAGGACTCACTTCCTGAACACCACTACAAGGTGCTGTAGCTTAGCTTAGATCAGATCACAAACTGTTTATTTAGATGATTGTTTTATTGTGACAGGGTTTGATCTTCATTTGACCGGTAATTTCAAAGTAACTTTGAAGTCTACAAAATCTAGAGACTTAACTAATATAGCTGTGAAAGTGCAGAGAGTAAGAGCAAGTTATTTTAGGCAAAAGTGTCAAAACTTCCGGAAATTTCAAGTCTTCAGGAAATGTCGTTCCTCTCAGCTTTTTTGTTCTTTGTCAATTCATCAATAAGACAGCAGGCCCTATGCCATGCATAGAAGAAAATATAGTCTCATTAATGAAAACACATGCTAATATTGAATTGTTTATTAGTACAGTCAACCAAATGTTGAGAAGTCCTCAAACAGTGATGAATAAAATATGCAAGCACTAGCCTTAATTAAAAGTTCTGTTTGCGGTTGGATGCTTTACATGCGGCAACAAAATGATGACTGTACAGATTAATTACCCTTGTGTGCCGTGACTAAGATTAAATGTTTTGTTTTGAAATGGGAAAGATTGAGTTTGAATTGCCTCTGATAATAGGTGTCATTTAAGATGCAGTCCACAGCCCTAACAAGGTCTTGAAAGTGTTTCGGAGCCTTGAGGAATTCTAATGTTTTGAATCTCTTAAGAAGTGACCTATTTACACTGCGTTAGAGAATTTAATTTCCACTAGATTCACACACACACACACACACACACACACACATTTTAGAATGCCTACTTCAAACTGAGATGTGAGTTACTAGTATGAATTATTATGCATTACTTAAAACAAACTGAATAAATCTGTTTCTAAGAAAGAACTTCAATTTTGACCAACTGTGTATCAGTGGTAGAGATGAGCAATATAACAGTAGAGTGGTAAGTGTGAGGGCAAAACATTTCCCCACACAGTTTTCATATCATGACAAGTTGGTCATGTGGATTGGCTACATTGACCTAAGGCTTTTATGAAAACCACAGATCACACTTCTGCATTTTTGTATTCCTGCTAACAGTCAGTTTGACCCAGTGCATTATGGGCGTTGAAGTTTTCCAACATATTTGCAAAGGGGAATATCATAGCCCTTTTCATAATTTTTCTAGTCATATAGCACTGATTTAAAAAAAAAATAACTTTTTATAGCATAAACAACCAAGTTTTCATAAAATGGCTGTTCACACCAAGGACAATAAGTTTTAATAATTCTATGAGAATAGGGATGTCTACACCTCAACTATAATGGAAATGACACAAGAACAATATCTTTGGACTCACTTTCAGAGCAAATTTTGTCCAGCTGATGAACAATAAAAAACATTGACAGCCAATAAGAATCCATCCTGTTTTAAAGAGATTGATCATTTAAAGCGGCAGATGACAGAACTGCAATACATGCTTATAATAAACAGAACGTTATCATCCGTTGGTATGGACACTAATATAATAATTGTAATAGTTATCGTTGTTGGTATGAATGGGCCTTTACAACAGCAGCCTATATATCTACTTATTTGTATTTATTTGTCCCACTGATTGTCATTGTAATTAGCTTTGTTGTTTTAATTTTATTACTAAAGACTGTTTACTTGCCTAAGTTGCCTTCAATAAACTTGGGAACTTTTTATGTATGTTGGTTCTGTCAAGACAACTCTCGGAGAGTTTAGCCTGGTAATATACATGACAATGTTAAGGTATTTGGTCTTGGCGGAATAGATCTGCTACACTGCTGCTGCGGCAGAGCAAGTACCGAGACTTGCTACTGCCAATATATCCACAACATGCTGCTGTGAGCATGTAGAAAATACTGCTGTTGCACATATTGCATCATACAGTATATAACATACATGAAATCACAGCAGATCTATACAGGTGGAGCTGGGGAAGGTTTCTGAAGAACCTGGAGCTGGTTTCTAAAGCGTGTTGCGACTGCTACAGCAAGCGCTAGCCGATTATTTGAATGTTGAGCAGGAAGGTTATTGGCTGTTGATACGAAAAGAAACCAATCAGCTGTGCCATGTGAATAATGATGTCAATATGTCAGATAGAGTTAGAACCAAGCTTGCCGCACAAGTCCTGCAAAGTGAAGCCAAAGTGTCTTGATCGCCCCCAGGTGGCTGGCTGCAGTACAGGTAATAAACCCCACCCTCTCCATGTAATATTATGGGACGTGAGACAAACTAAATAATCAAATTACACTTCAAATAAAATTTCCAATTTCCAATTTCCAAAGATGGTTTCCGTCATTTGAAGTAGTTCTTATCGTGCTGATTTATGTTCAAGTATTTGTTTTTCTAATAAGTTTGCTTTTAGGTAGTTATTTGGTGCTATAAAAACAGGGTGTGGTGTCATGATTGTGATCTTGCGATTGGGTCTGCGGGAGTTTGGGCAGGACTTTGATACCGAGACTCCACCTCACAATCACTACTGCGCAGACTCTGGCTCCAAACGAATCTCTACTGCGCAGACTGTGGCTCCAAATGACGCAAAGACGGCAGCGGCCATACTGAGATGCTTTGGCTTCACTTTTCTATAGTGGAAGGAAGTGGAGACACGTCATCCTTTTTTTTTACTGTCTACGGTTAGAACTTATCGGACTGCGCCATCTAGAGTTTCATGACAGAACTTTGTATTTACATTATCAGCATTAGCTTTTGCTGTGTTATTAAAAAACTGAGAATTGTGACATTTTAATGTGATCTAAAATGCTTTGCCTTATTTTCAGCAAAAATAACTATACTGTGAAATATATTGTTATCATTAAATAAAATGATTTATATTGCAATGTAAGATTTTGGGCATATTGCATACCAGTATGTAAGAGATATACCTTTCTGACAGTGAAATAAGAAGAGAGTCTTGGCATCCTGTTTCACCCTTTGTGCCCTCTGTCTTTTACTCACTGTATCTCTGTGTTTGAGAGTGTGTTTGCAACTCATTATTTCCTCTCTATTTCAACTCTAAGACTTCTCCAGGTGTTGGTCTGCCTTTTAGCAGGTCGAACAGCCACCTGTGTGTCACAACAGCTCCCTCTGGTCCATCCCCACCATCTGCCCGACACACGAACACACACACACGCCTGTGCTTACATACCAACATGACATCTAATGAATACAAAATACGTGGTGCCATTATTTTAGGTGTGTTAAGTGAATGTAAAATATAATTTGATATGTTATTGTATCTCAACTGGTGCTAACAACATCAAAGTTGTCAGTTCAATTCTCAAACAAGCAAAGTACACTCTTAAAAATAAAGGTGCTTCAAAAGGTTCTTTAAGCGATGCCATAGAAGAACCATTTTTGGTTCCACAAAGAACCATTCAGTCAAAAGTTCTTTAAAGAACCATCTCTTTCTTACCTTTTTATAATCTGAAGAACCTTCTTTCGCCACAAAGAACCTTTTGTGAAACAGAAAGGTTCTTCAGATGTTAAAGGTTCTTTATGGAACCATTTAGAAAAAAAGGTTCTTCTATGGCATCGTGAAGCACCTTTATTTTTAAGAGTGTATTTATATGTTGAAGCATCTGCTAAAAGCATTAAATGGTTTATCCAGATGTTTGGTTGATGTGTATATTAGTGTTATTTAATCACAACGCTACTGATTAACAGACTGATTGTGCGACACTGATTACTACAGCACTACTGATTAAATACAGAATACAAGAGCACAATTAATCTGATTACAGTCTCAGAGGACCGTGGGAGACACCAAACACTGTCTAAACAGTGCTTTAGTTTTACAACCTTATACTGTATATTCCTAAATTATATGTCATTAAAGCTGATGCTTATCATTTGTAGTTTCTGTGATAGAAATAACTCAAACTAGTCTGGAACTTCTATTGTGGTGTAAAGGTCAATTCACACCGCACAGACAAATGCTAACAAACACCAACAATGGGTGCCTTCAGAATGAGAGTCCAAACAGCTGCTAAAAACATCACAATAATCCTACTATGCTAAGATCAAGCAATCTTCAAATTCAAAAACAGTTCTTAACAAATATGTTGGTGGATTTTACTGTGAGAGGAGGTGTTATTACGGATTATGGACTCATATTTTGACCAGAAGTGATGGCTTAAAGTTAAAACTGCTTAATGATGGATTTGTTTCTAATAAACACATAGCTTTTCAATTCACAAGACATTAACTGATGATCTAGAGTCATGTGGATTACTTGTGGATTATTGTGATGCTTTTATCAACTGGACTCTCTTTTCTCAGTTTGGACTCTCATTCTGATGGCACCCATTCACTGCAGAGGAGTTTTCATTTTTGGGTGAACTATTACTTTAATGGCTTTATTTTTAGAAAAAAAAATGTGTTCGAAAATGTATAATTTGGGTTAATATGTTTGTAAATAATTGCACCATTAAGCAGCTATGATTCATGTGATCAGAATCCAGGAATTTCTGCATTATTATCCATGTTGCTATTGCGAATTGAAGTATGTAAAAGTCAAGTTGCTCTTTTCCATACAATGAAAGTGAATGGGGACCAGGGACTGTCGAGCTCCAAAAATGCACCCTAAAAGCATCATAACAATATATCAAACAATTTATATTCCACGTCTTCCAGGTGATTCTATAGCTTTGTGTAACAGACTAAAATTCATTGTTAATCTTACTATTCACTTTCTATAGAAAAGAGCAACTTGAACTTTCTGCTAAACATC